GGCTTCATTGGTCTTCTATTGCTGAGCTACATCATTTCCTAAATATATCATCTGTATTGGAAACACTTAACAAGTTCTGGATTGACAGAGTGTATGGATCAGTGAAGCTGGAGACCATTTATCTTTTAAATTATCTAAACATATTCTTCCCACTGTGTCTACTTTGGTTGTCATGTTTGGGTCACGGCATACACTGTACAGGTCTCTTGATATTTTTCTGAAAATACTTAATATTTTATGAGGCATCCTTAAGGAGAAGAAAGACATCAGAAAGACTCTCTCTGATTCCCTTTCTGTCCTGACAAGTACAGGAGTGGATTTCCAGTGGCAATTACAGACTCAGAGGGCAGGAAAGGGTCAGAGCTTATGTCCAAAATGCCAGGCTGATACAGGCCTCATTTGAAGATTATTGGTATGCCATTTGCAAAACTGATTCTTTCATAAGACCAAATTTATATGGAATGTCTTTGTGTGGCATTTCTAACCCCACTCCAGTTGCCATTTCATCACATACCCCTCGAAGGAGACATCTTGACATCATAACTGGTCCATCTGAAAAAAAAAGTACATTTTGGTCCTGAAACACTGAAACTGTGTTTCTGAAAAGGAGCAGCAGATCCCACCATGATTCTGAGGATGAACTGTGGGCACTTTCCATGGCCTGAGTCAGAGCAAGGAGCTGGAAGCCATTGACATTCAATGCTTCCCAGTTTTGGAGCCCACAGGCAGAGCTGAGAGTTCTTACCACACAGAGGCAGATCAGAGTATCCTTTGCTGTGTGTTTAGTGTTTCTGTTTTGTGTTTACAGGATCTCAGGCAACTTCAGAGCTGATGGCTGCAACATCTCCATCCCTGCCTTCACGTGGGCCGTGTAACTCGCTGCATAAACCATGTCAGGATGGGTTAGTTCCTCTTTGCAAAGCACTCTCTGAATGCTGAACAGTGCTTGCCTTTTATCTACCCCTATTGGTACACACAGATCTCGGATTTAAAAGTCCTGTGTGTGATGTGCCTGCCTTAACAGGGGCTTTTTGTGTCTTCCAGGAGCTGTGCTCAGCTCAGTCCAGTAGGTAAAGTTGCTTGTTCAGTGGAGTCACTTATGATGATTTACACTGGGGTAAGTGAGACTGGAATCTGGGCCTTGATCTTTTTAATGCAAATTCATCAATTCTGTTAGATAAAAGATGAAAGGAATCTATTACATTCTTTGGTCATCCCTTGAAACAAAATAATTTGATTGGTTCCAGGCAGTAAGAAGTCCCTACTCCTGCAGTTATCTCCAGACATGAAACTTTGGGTTAGCGACCAAAGCTCTTACTGGAGAGATTTATTTTTCATGGATTAATCACTATTAATGATGAGTGCTAATAATGACAGAAGTGATTTCCAAGTTAAAATGTAAGAATGCAAAACTTAAGGTTAACATGTTCCTCTGGTGTTTGACTGAGCACTATCTGTTTAAAGACACACACCTTCTTTTACTTCAAAATGTTTTATTCTCCTTTTAAATACACACCTTGATGTTGATCTGACAGTGGTGCAAATGAGAAGGTGACAGAGGTCTCTCTGATGTAAAATCAAAGTGAATTCAGATGCACAGTGCAGACACTGGAGGAGTGTGGAGCACAGAGCACGTAAACATAACAAATAGCTGCACATGCAAAAGTATAGCAAGTGCCAAATGTCTACAATACCGTGAATTAACTGCTATGACAGGAGATCTTGCAGGGGTGTTCTGAAAGGGAAAGCAGAACTCGATAGCAGAGATCACAAAACCACCCCCTCCCTTGATCTTCAGCTGCCTAAACCAGGAGAGGCAGAAAGAGCAGGCTCTGAACAAACAATCTTTTATGGCTGATGGATGTGGCACTGCTTTGTCCAGTAAAATTGCTGATTTACTAATAGTTAAAAAATAAATCCTTTTGTGATGACACCAACCTCTCTAACCTGCTAAAGAAAGTGCAAACAGATGGGTATCTGTGTGACTGTGAGTGATGAAACCAGTCTGGAGAAATACCCACAGCTCCTGGCGAGAACTGATATTGCAGCGTGCAGGAGCATCACCAGCACCCCCATTAGGGTACATTCATTTTCTTTGTGCCAAGAATATGACCAATGATACTAGGTGGTTTGATTTAATGGATCTGCCTCTTCTAGCAAAAAAGCAACAGATATTTTATACAAAAGTGAAATGTGCCCAGGGAAGCCTGGACAGATTTAAATTCCTCAGGCTTTCCTCTTTATTGCAATGCCAGCAGACTTAAGGGACTTTTGACCTTACTAGTAAATTTTTAAATAAATGTAGGATACCTACTTTATGGGTCTGAAAGGGACAGGAACAGCTTTTTGTTTCTGATAGGAGAATCTGTTTAAAAAAAATAAATTTACTTCCCTTTATATGTGAAATTCCATACTGGCTTTTCCTTAAGACTGTTCTGATGTACTTCAGGAAAAAGTGCAACCAAGTCTTGTTGGTTTAAAGTGATACAAACTACAGATATAGGCCAGGTAAAATATGTAAGTGAGAACAGAATGAGGCCCTGCATTTTTAGAACTGATAAATGTAGCTCCGAAACTTATTTTTAGAGTTACATAGTTTGCAGTAAGTCAAGTACTTCAAGAGATGAATACCCATCACATATCAATGCTGAGGAAATGGTACTTTGTTGATTATAAATCAAAATTGAAGGTCTTTTTGGGTGCAGCTCATCAAACACTGACTTAGCAAACCATTTTCCTCTGGAATATTTTTCTCCTCAGCAGCCTACAAAAGCAGTTGGGTAATTTTTGTGTTTCAGTATGAAGAAATACTTATCCTTTAATCCTTAAATCACTGCAATTGAGTATAATTTCACGTCAAAAGCAGCCAATAAAAGTACAAAATAGGGATTAGCTGGAGTATTTTTAGATTAAAATTACTTGAGTTGGAAAGAAGTGGCACATAATCTCAGTACCTTCACGAGCACTGTAGCAAGCTGAAGAGGATTTGTTCTGTTTCATTTGAAGACTGATGGCATAAGTTACAAGGGAGAGAAGCTATTATTACAACAGGGAGGATTTCACAATAATCATAATCCACAACTGTACATAAATTTAATTGAGAGTGAATTCTTTTTTTGTCTGATATCTTTTAATCATCAATGCTATACAATACTTCTGCTTCTACCGGCAAAGCACATGGGAAGCAAAGTTAAACCCATCATTTTGGCCATAAATTAGGACACTCATAAAGCTGCAACAATTGCTTCCATTTCTAAGTATTAAAACAAATGACTACTCTCATTTAACCTTGAGGCACAAGATTCTCTTTGCTTGTGTTGTGATATAATTCACAGGAGTGAATATAAGCTTCTGTTGGAACGAAAAAAATAATTCCTCTTCATTCCTTTCCTGAAGTGCTCAAGCTGGCATCATTTAAAGCATGAAGTCCTGGCTCAGTTTGCATATTCAAGAGAAAAATGTAAAACAATCCCCCTGCCTCTGATATACAGCTCTCTTTTGAAGGAAGAATGTGCTTGTTTCAGGTCCTGATACCTGGGATATTTCTTAAATCTTTGCCTGGAGTTGTATATGACAGGTATGAATCACAGCAAATGGCAGCTTCACTCTGCATTCCCTTTCTAGAACACAGATAAATTTATTGGTTAATGTTTATGTAAGCACAGTGTAAGTGTGCCTGATTTACTGTACCAATACCTGCAACTGTAGAATGTCTGCTCTACTCAAAAGCATTTAAAGGACCTTTGGGGTGCACAATGTGTATGCCATTATCCCATTAATGACAAGGTGCAGCTTTGGGCAATAACAGAAAAGTTATTTATATGCACAATGATTTTTTTCTTCCTCAACCACTTTTACAGCTTCCCCAAGTTATAGAAGAGTCAATAGCTGGCTTAATGATGCTGGCAGACTAAGTAATACTCTGTACATACTCATATTAGGGAGAGAAAAATGTTGAGTTTATTTTTGTGACCTTTAGATTCTGAGAACTGGCTAAAATCAATTTAAGTTCCAAGAGATGGGATGATACCTAAACTAAGCAGTAAAATTGCTCCACTTTGTGTTAAAATATAACAGCAAGGTAACAATCATTGATTTGGAAACAGAATGGGAAGTGAAGGGGCATTGGTCAAGTGTAGGAGGTCAGGGAACAATTTGACAGGTTTCAAGCCACTCTGTCTTGAATAGTTAGGAAAAAGATTCCAAGGAATCTAACCTGGCAACTATTGTAATTAAGGAATAAACACGAGTACTCCTGGCAATAAAAAGGGGACAATCATCCAGACTGTCCCTATAGAACCACACACTGAATTATGGGAATATCATTGACAGAGAGCAGGATCAGAGGACAGCAGTTGCTGGGACATTGCCACTTTGTGCCTGAGGTCAGGACCCAGCTTTTCTTTCACCACAGACCTCTTTTAAAGAGACCTTCTCTTCAGTCCTCAGAGATTAATGGGAGCAGCTGATTTTCAGAGCTCCCCAAGGAAGATTATTGCTCAGGCTATGAATACTACAGAAATACTTTATCTGTTGCCTCCAGTTGTTGGTATAGTTCTTCTTACATGACACTTTGTTTATTATTGTCTTCACAGGTCACCTTGCAGAACAGATGCCTTGCAGCAGAAGAATTAGGAAAGAATGAGAGCTGAGTGACACTGGCATGTGTCATGTTCTGATCTTACTGAGGAGGAAACAAATCCTGCGTTCCTGTGCCAGTGCTGTGGCTGAAATACAGATGTGGTGATTCATATCATTGAACAAGCCCTGAATTCCCCCCAGCAGCAAATGAGGTGGTTAATCTATTGGATTTCAACTGATGGAGCCAGGTATTCCTGAAATAATTCCTGCCAGCTGCTCCTCAGGTGCGAGTGACACAACCCAGCCAGCGGCGCTCCATCCCGGAGTACAGCGCGCTGTAACGCCGCGCCAGCTCACACTGCCTCACAGCCTTCCTCTGCAAAACCTTTTTAAAATTCTAAAAACAAACCAGAAAGTACCTGCTCTAGGGACTTTGGTACAGCTCCGACCATTTCCAAAAAAGCCAGCAGGGCAGCGGCCACAGAGGTACCCAACGTAGGGCGGCTTGCGGTCGAAGCACGGCGCTCCGGGGAAGCACGGCCGGCTGGCACAGCTGTGAGCCACGGCTCCTGCACGACCAAAACAAGGCAGGGCAAGCATTTATTCATCATTTCTCAGATGAAATACATATCTAAAAATTTAGCCCAGCTATAGCTTCATAACTGCTTTTATTCTTTTAAAGTCTAATTAATGCAAAATGATACCCAAACCTTGAGCCAAACAGGAGAATGTCCTGTAGGCACAGTGTAACAGAACAGCTGTTTCTCATTAAAGCAAGATTTATTAGTCCTCTAATTACATGTTTTCAAGTTTATTACTCAAAGTTGTCTGGCATTTATCATGTAAAATATAGAAACTGTAATTTTCAGCATAAGTGAAAGATTAACTGAGTGAGAAAAGGTATTATTGACATCTTTTTGGTCTTTTATAATTGGAGGGTAATTATCAAACCTTACAGCACCTATACTGTGCTTTTGAAACTACACTGTGAAGTACATATGTTTCTGATCTGGAAATCATCCTTAATGTGTCAAATCTTGTATTACAGAAAACTGCTTTAATTATCTTAGGACTATATGCAAAATTTAACACTCTGGTAGTATATAATATTTTACCACTTATGATGTCACTGAATAGCAAGTGTATATGAACTGCCTGTGAAGAACATAACAGTGTCAAGACAGAGAACAGATGATGAACACAATCTTAATGATGGTTGTAGATCCTTGTTAATTGCTTATAGTGAGGTGTCCATCATGATTCTCATGTATTTTCTGCATTATTCTTGCACTTTACCTACAGTATCATGATATAGGATACCTGCAGGAGGCAGGTTCTGCTTAGAGATTGGCTGGCCTGGTACTGATATTAAAAAAAAAAAAAAGAAGGTAAGAAAAAAAAACCTTTTATTTTACATATAAAATATGTTATTTTTACATGTAATATATGTATATAATATATACATATGTAATATATATAATATATACATATATGTTATTTTTACATATAAAATATGTTATTTATCTGTTGTCTCTGTACAACACATATGACCAATCTCAATTTTTTGCCGCCTGCTTTCACTGGAAAATCAATTAAAATGCAACACATTAGAGCAACACCAACACAATCATTTTGCAGGAGCACACCCATGTCAGAGAGGGCTGCAGCTCTGGGAAAAGCTACTGCCACAGGCAAGTTCATCCTCCAGTTGATCTTATGATTAAAACTCAGTAGCAATTCAGTGGTTGCCTATTGAATCCTGAAATAAAACACCAGCATCACTTGGTCATGGCAAGCTGGCATAAGCTGCCACTTTTATCATCTTGCTTTGCATTGATCACTACAGTTTGGGGTGGTTTTGTCCTACTTCAGAAGTGGTGATGTCTAATTAAGCCTGACCACTCTGTTACTGTTGTAATGCCTCCCTTCCATGTCAAATTGTTTAGCAGCAATCCACATTCTGATGCACTGAATGTTTTTTTCCTAACTCAAATTTTCTTGTTATAATTATCTAGTTTGTGTTTACTGTTTGCAAAGATATGATTTCTGAATCCGTAATCTTTCCCAAATGAAAAAGATTTCATATCCTTGTATACCTACCGTGTCTATCACTTATGTTAAAATTCTTAATTACAGGAGAATCCTTTGTCTCTGAGGATTGCAGTGGCAGCTTAACCTCAGTCCTGTTCAATTCACCTTTGCCACTGCTTAAAGCTTCTGTAACATCAGCAGCAAGCACAGCTGTGGAAAACATCACAGAGACAAAAACAAGGTGTTAGAGCTGAGCTGTGATTGATGCTAAAAAGCCACAGCAACAGCAAATCAGGTAACCTGACACAAGTTTACTCTGGAAGCCAACGAGCAAATAAAGGCAGCTCAGGTGGGTCCAGCTGCTGGCATGCAGCAAAGCTTCAGCCAAGTATAGGAAAAGTTATTACGCCCAAACTTTCTGAAATTTGCTTGTCTGGGAGTCGTAATGTGCACTGTGATCTTTCTTGGGCTCAGGGCACCTGGAAAAGCTCAGGTCAAGCAGTTGTTGACAGCAGTGCTCCTTGGATGGGGATGCTGCACCTCACCCTGGGAGCTGTGTTTTGCCCCACTGAAACCTCTCCTTCTCCCTGAAACTCTGGTGAGTGTGTTTGTTCAGTCAGTTCAGCTGCCAGCTCCGTGTGGGTTGAAATACTTGTGAAAACTGCACGTGAATGCAATGAAGAAACTCTGAAAAATGTGATTTTCTGCATAATTTTAAGGTAATGAATTAGGGGTAAAGTCTACGTGGATAGTGCTGCAAGTCAAACAGTTATTGTCTTGGGTCTCTTAAGTATTCTCTGCTTTTAATAGAGCCTGAAATTCTGACTCTTTATATATATATATATTTATATATATATAACAATACAATGAGCTGTTGCTCACTGTACAGAGCAACTTCAGTCCTCCTTCCCTTTATACTCACCTAAGCAGGGGAGGTATGAACAAGAATGTTAAGTTTCTGAATCAGAGCTACAAATATTGATTTCTGTCCTATCCTAGGTGAACAAATAAGCCCTCAGGTTTATTCCTTCTAATAAATGTTCATTTCAGAAACAGATTTTTTTGTTGTAATTAAAAAATGCAAAGTAAGAAATGTTACATTTTTCAAAAGCACATTATTTGGTATATCCTTCCTTTATGGGGCAAGTCAAAATATGCATTTATGAAACAGATGTAAAATCAATTTGAAATAACCAATGTGGCCAAAAGATACATCACAGAAAACTTTATATACAGGTGTTTGGCAATATAATTGAAGGAATGTTTGGTAAATCTGGCAAAAGCTGTGCTGCTGGTGCCAGGGTCCTGCAGCTACCATTCAGTCTGTTTACAGTGGATATTTTTTCCTTTCTGTAGTCAATATGAGGAAATGTTAATGGCTGCACAGGAAATATCTGCATCTTTCACTTCTGGGTTTCTTTGGAAATACCAAGAAACAAGTAAAAACTCTTCAGTGTTGACTTATCTCCTTCTGGTTAAAAAAAAATAAATTTGGAGAAGGCTTTTACCTATGTGACTGAAACAAGCAGAGTGTGTGTGAGTCACATCAAGTGCATTGGAAAGGTCTCAGAGCACAAAGTCACCATAGGCTCCCCAATAAAGAGTCTGTTGCTCTAAAAGCAAATATTGAGCAGATTTAAAACTGTTCATGGCCCTTTCCTTCACTAGTTGGATCTGAGGAGTGACTCCATCCCAAGCATCCCCTGGGCTGTGTCCTCTAATGAAAACACACCTTGGAAACAGAGGTGAAAGGATGGAAATGTTTGGCACATTGACCTTTCTTTTCCTCTCCTAACAGCTGTCACCCAAAGAAAAATCAGCCCTGCAGGTGCTCACCAAATATTCACTCGTGGGTGTACATTTAGGAGTGAAATAGTGCAGAATGTGCAGAGTATCCTTGGCAAATTATCTGTCTGTGAAATACTTTTTTGTAGGCTGTGGTGCTCATTCTCTACCAAAATGAAAAATAGCAGAGCAATTTGCAAATATTCACAGTAATATAACATGACAGTGGTATGTTTTTTTACATTTAAGGATCTGTACTTGAAATGAGTGGCAAAATACTCAATTAGGGATAATAGTAGTAGAATTGAACCCATTCCCCCCCTCCCCCAGTCTCTTAAAATAATCCATGTAAAACACTTACATTTGCAAGTTTTACCATTTCCCTCCATCCCAGTGGGGCAAATTCCACACGCATAAGATCCAAAGGTATTCATACAAGACACTCCAGGAAAACAAAGACTCTCTTCACACTCATTCTTGTCCTCCTGACAAGTAAGCCCTGTAGCAAAGCAAAGGGGAAGTTAATAATCAGGAAAGGTTCCCTGTTTATAGTTCAGCTCAAATGTTGAAGCAGACAAAGGCTCACTCCTCAGCTACAAACTCATTACAGGGTATGTCACTCATGTTCCAGCCACATTCCCCACTGTCTCACTTAAACCTGCTTTTATCACACTGTTTATTACTGTCATTATTGGCACCAGAAGTGCTGAATTTGAGACTACTGCTCATGGAAAGCTGTGCATGTTAAATAAAAATGCACATAAATGAAATTAATATTCCCCCTGCATTTCATGTCTTTGCTGCTGTTTTTGTTGTCTTATTAATGTGAGATCATTGTCATGTATTGAAGACCCCCATGAATTTGGGTTCTTCATTCTTTCATTTAAACCCCATTTTGGCTTTAGGATAAGAGGAGCCATGTACTGACCTCTGTTGTACTTTCTGTTTCTATGTGAACCTCACATAACTGTAACCTAGCCTGATAGAGTCTGGTTGAAGATAAACCCTAAAAAAATGATTATATTCTTAAAAACAACCCAAATTTTTCTATTTAAAATCAAAATTTGAAGGAACATTCTGAAAATGTCACTGAGCCACAGAACTGGTATTCAGAGGATAGGCTGCCACAGGATCTTAATCCAAAACAATATCTCTTGACTATTGCTGATTTTAGAAAGAAGGTTTTAAAAATCCCTTAAAGCAACTGATTTTAAAATTTACAACTTTGAGTGATTTAATGAATCAAATTAAGGGAGAGTGACCCAAAAGATAGAATTACTATCTGAACAGCAATGAGGCAGAGGAATCAGATATAATGTTGACTAAAACTCCTCCAGGCCTCAGGTGCTGCTGCCTCTGTGCATTTGGGCAAACTTGCTTGACTGCTGCTGGTCACAGGATGTGCAGCCAGAAACCAGCCCAGAGCACTTTGATTAAGGCATCCCCTTTGTCCCTGCAGGAATAAACAAGGAGATTGGGACAGCTTCTGGAGAATCCAGGGACATGCCTCAAGACATAGCACCACGTACAGAAAGGTTTGGTCCATATCAGATATCCAGATTTATTGTGACAAAAGGTCTAAGGATAAAATAATCTTATTTTTTTTTTTTATTTTTTTCCTTCAAAAAAGAAATTTGTCACAGAGGAATGAATTGCAGGATAATAAAAACAGAGCATTATTATTCATCTCCTACAACATAATCTCTCATTGCTTCAGCATTGCAGACAGCTTCCACTTGTCCTTTCATGTTAAAATAGTATCTCAATGTAGAAAACTAAAACTGAAGTCTCCTTATAGTTTGAGCTGCCTAAAAAGTCAGTGCCATCACCTTCCCATGCCTGCTTCTTCTCAAGGAAAAAAAAAACAGAGCATGAAAGCCACATCCCTTTTCCTGTGCCATCTGAACATAACCTATTATGGTTTTCATGCTTCTTGCTTCAATTATTGAAATCACATCACACAGTGTTGCAGGGCCAGGCTTACCTTTTTCCTTCCCTTGTGAAATTTTGGCTGAGTATTTATATTCTATAATTCAATTACCACATTCCTGGCATCAGGCTGCTTTTCTCTGATGCTGATTTCTGGTGATGCATTGGGAAATTATTAGACATCACATGGAAAATATTGAATGAGGAGCACTCTGATTAGATTAGTAATTACTTTCTTTCTCTGAGTATCATACAAAGACTAAACATGCTACCATAAACAATGAGAGGAGGATCAAAGTTCCCAGTTTCAGTAACAAGTCACTTCTCCCTTGGCCCCTCTCATACTTTCCTTCTCACCTTTCAATACTCTATTTTCATAAAGGGCTGTCTTTCATATCTCAAAGACAGGGGAATTACAGAAATCAAGGAACACCATAAGTAACGAGCTACAATTCAGCTCCTTGGCTGATTTTTGTGATGTAAAGGTGAAACTATGTAAGCACTGCTTTTCACACACAGATATTGATTTTAAACAGTGTCTGACCAACTTGGGCAAAATGACAAACCTGATGAATCCAAGGAGAAATGTTTACAAAGACTGAAACTTGGCTGCATGATGCTGAAGAAGCAGCAGAAATGCATATGAAATTGCACCAAGAAGTGTCAATTATTCTGTTTACATGACCTCCTGTGCCCTGTAGCACAGGGGAGTCTCAACTGTCTTGGCACTGCTACAGTACAAATAAAAATAATAGGAATAGAAGTTCATCAAGTTCCAAGGCTGAATCATCTGTTTGTGTGCCAGCTATATTTCTCCATCCCTGCATGGGAAGTTGTTTGAGAAAATAAAGTCCTTTCTTGCCTTGATAGGAGCTGACCACCTACAGATGCAAAGAAAGATTTTTTGATTGTGCTCACATTGAGTCTAAAGGAACAGAAAAATCCTATTTAGGTTCTCTATGGTTATTAGAAACCAGTAACAAATCCTGGGAGTTTCTTCAGTTTCCTGAAATATAAAATGAAATTATGGTTCCATCTTGCTCGCTATCCCACCCCCAACTTTGTACTAATCCCTGGTATATGGGGAAAGAAATAATGATTTTGTGATTGGGATAGTTATCAAGGAGGAGTTCTCAGGTGGGTGATGCTCTTGCTTTCTGTGGCCAAAAGAATATACAGCAGGGAGCTTTGTTATCTTGTTGACAATGCAGATGAAAAATCAATGAGCTTTGAACACTCAGAGACCCAGTAATAATTCTGGAGTCGGCCTTTCTCAGATTTCCTACTGGCTTTTCTCCCTGCCATTCTCACATTTTACCCTCACACTGATGCACCTGAGTTGCTGCTTCCCTTGCAGGGGAAGCTCTCCCAAGTTCACTTCTTGTTTCTGCTGCCTGCTTGCTGTCATTTGTAAAGATTTGATGGTGAAGTGGTGCTGTCACTTGAGCTGCACAGCATTGCCTTCTCATTAGATTATTGATGGTTTTCTGGGGAATTGAGGCATAAACACAGCATCAAGAATGAGCTTTTATTGTTGTCACGAACCTGCCCTGAAGTAAAATCACCTGCTTCCCAGCTGGCTCGCAGCTCCACTTGTTTATAATTTTTCACCTGCTATTAAAACTTTGCGATGTATTCCTTTTTCACTCAATCATATTTAATTTTCTTTTGTTGCTTGTGTTTTGGCATTTTGGGAAGAAGCAGGAAAAACAGCAAAACCCTTCCACTGTTATTTAACTTGCAAGATCTAAAGGTGAAGGCAAACCTGGTTTTTCTCTGGCCATCAAGGTTCTGTGTGCCCTTGTCTCTCCAGTCAGCAGGTCCACTGAAGTTATTAACTCATGGAATTATATTGATTTTTAATCATTTAATCAAACTCCTAACAGGCAATCAAAACCTTTTATCATTGTATAGCTCCATAAATTACACCATAAAAAATTCCCAAATTTTCCTGTGCTCATAGGAATGTTTTTTCCAGGGGATTATAAACATTCTGCATATGCCTGGTTGGCTTAGGGATTTTTATATTTTGATCAAGCTTCTATGTTAGAACTTTATTCTCCCTGCTTAGGTTTGTGTGTTCTTGCCTCAGTGGGGTCTCTGTAAAGATTTTGGACAGCAGCAGGCTTTGGCCATTAGGGAGCATTACCTGGAGTCAGCACAGATTAGGTGTCACAGATCTTTTGGGTCATTTTTATGGACTTCTGAGAGATTTTTCTTTTATGTTTCTGCTGGAATTTTATAGAAATGAAATCTGGGCTTGCAGTCCCACATGACCAAAGCAATAAAGCTGCTGACAGACAGGAAAGGTACCTTGCCCACGGAGTAAAATCTGTTCACTGCTTTTGTTTAAAAATGAGTGTTTTTCTCTATATATGCACAATATAGCAGTAATAATTATGTGCATTTGATGTTACTTCTACTTTATTTTTCAAACTTATAACACTGGCAGCAGCCAACCTCATGGGACTCAAGAATGTGAACAGAACATAACAAACTGATCATCTTTCTTCGCTTAATTTCTTAAAATCACATTTTGGCCAGCTCTTCTGGTCTTGGCTTGGATAGAATTTTGAAACCAAGGCATGAGCCTTGAAGCGTTTCAGGGGTTAGATTTTGTTTCATCATCATGTCTGACAACTCACTGGGATTGGGATTTTCTAATGCTTAAATTTATTGAAGTTTCAAGAGGGACTAGAGGACAAGTTATTTTTCTATGTTTTCCATATTTTCTTCTTCCTAGACTTAAGAAACCTCATTTAATCCTAGTTCTTTCCTCAGCTTAGTTAAATGAAATTAAGTGGATTTTTGCCTTTCTCTATTTCACTCAGTGTTCTCCTAGCTCATCTCATGGAGGGACAAATCCATGGGAAATGAGCAGGAAGCAACAAAGATCTGGGAGGTTCACATATTCCTTGAGTGATCATTTCAGCACAACAGGGCTTTAGGTCATTTTTCCTCATTATTAGATAGAGAAATATCATCTCTCTATGTCTGAGGCTATGCCAGGGCAGCAGAAGAGCAGGATTTTGTTTGCAGTCCATTTGGAGATGCTGTGGTCTGTGGGAATCCTGGGCATCCCTCTGGCTGCTCTGGCAGGGTCAGGAACCCCCCTGGACAGAGCCCCCAGAGACACTGTCTGTCATCTCTGTCCATGGAAAAGAGTTTTCAATCTTACAGGATGAATTACCAGCTCTGAGTGCTTGATATGAGTAATAATTAAGTGTGGCATGGGGTGCAAAAGTAAAATTTTAGGATTCTAGATAAGGGGTCCAAAGGGCACAAGATGGAGGAAATTGGGTGTGCCTTGTCCTTTTTCTCCTTCTTCATGCCCTCCATGTCTCACTGTGGTGTTGGCATTTTTCTGTTGCTTCAGGCTGGGGACACACTGTCCAACGTAGGTGACAGATATTGGCACGTTCTTGTAAATCCAGCCCAGGGAGTTTCTGGTATTGAATGTTTGTCACATCCCACTGAGGGCAGAGCCCCACACGCTGCCCTGCAGGACAGAGCTGGGCAGGGCAGCAGAACATGTGAGAGAAAAACACAATAAACAACCTTGGAACCAGCACAGATGAATTATGACTTCTTTGGCAATGGGGCTGACAGAGACTTTCTACAATCTCAGAATCATCAATACCACAGATTCTGACAGTGGTCATGCTACACTCAAAGAATCCTGTAGCTCAGTACATCTGAGGTTAAAGCAGAGATGCAAACAGAGAGGTGTTACCTCCCAAACCAGGGGGGCATTTGCAAAAGTAGCTCCCCACGCTGTCCACGCAGGTTCCGCTGCCACAGGGGTTTGATTTGCAGTCCCTGATGTCATCCTGGCAGAATTCTCCATCAAATCCATTTGGACACAAGCACAGGTATTCACCAAGGCCTGGAGGGTATTTAATGTTGGTGACACATGTTCCACCATTGAGGCAGCTGCAGGGCTTCACTCCAACCTGGAAAAGGCAAAAGGGGATTCTGGTAAAGTTCCTCTGAATAACCACAGTTGGGATGTGTATTGTTCCCCTTTAGGAAGGGAGAGATTTCTCTCCAAACATGTTATCCAGTATTATGGAAACTTATTTCTAACCAATTTCCTTTGTCTAGATAGATGGTCTTATACTCACTGCACTTATTTATTTGACTGAGAGCTCCACTTCAAAGAGATTTCTTTTTTCGTCATTTAGGGCACAATCTGACTCCTTATAAAGAAAAAAATCCCAATCTTATTTGCTTTAACAGCAGATTTCACATTGTATCTGAGGGCAGAATTTGTTTCTTATTCTTCAAAGAAGAAAGGAAAAATCTTTTCTCTTTGCCTGCCTGCCCACCTTCCTCTTTCACATTACAAATGGCTCCCAGGCAGGAACACGACTGTGGCATTCCTTATCTTGTGTCTCTCTTCAGGGAAGGGCGATCCATGGTTCTATTTTACGTATGTACAAGAAATGCATTTCTACAGATTCAAAGCTCTGCATTATCTCCCCCAGATAACACAGGTCTAGCTTGAAATATTTCCATTACAGCCATATCTAGGCTCCAGTTTCCCCTTTGCTGTGTGGGTTCAGCAGATTGGTATTTTGTGGTTTGAATGAGCAAAAATAGAAATCTCTGGGAATAAAAATCTTTTCTTCAAAAAACTGTTCTTATGTCAAGAGCCTGCATCCTGCTTTATTAGCTCATCTGATCAGAGGATTAATGTTAGCCCGTACAATAAAGACAAAGCCATGCACAAGCTCTGCCAAGAAACTTAGAGTGTGGAGTAAAGACATAAGAGCAAGACATCCTCTAAAAATATCATTGAAAATGAGTTATAATCTCCCTTTTATAGCTAAAGCCTGGTCTTTTATGTTATATGCTTTTTTTGTGCAATCCAGATGCAAAATGTGAATTTTAAAGCAGATTAATGAACCATTAAAAGGCTCTGCGAGAATGTTCTTTCAAACAGCAATCAATAGCACTCTCTCTTGTTCCCTGTATGTATAGTTTCTATGTTCTCAGAGATATTTATTCCATTAATTGATCATTATTGCTGTGCTGGATATTATGCACTTATGAGGAAATAGCTGAAGCCTTGTTTTTCAAGACAGTAACAAATTATTAGCTATGATGACAATTGCACAATTGCATCGACATGACAAACAGGTTTGTTTTGTTTTTCCTTTAAAGTGTTCTTTCCCTTACCTCAACAGAGTATCTGCTCTGTGCATTGCACTCATCTGACACAGTGAATTCAAAGGTCTGCATTTCTTCTGACTCAACCTTCCAGAGGAGCAGGCCAGCAGGAGAGAGCCTGGCGCCCCGTGGCCCAGCCTCCAAGATGAATAGCACAGCTGACCCTTCTGGATCCACTGCTATTAGCTGGTAAACAAAATTCTCACCAATAAATGTCAGCAGCTGGCTGGAGGGGGCCTGGAACACAGGAGGCAGGTTGTCTAAACAGCAAAAATGAAACCATGATTACATAAACTCCGCTTTCTCCCACGTAAAGGTTCTCAGAGTGGGTCTTTGAAGGAATGCTCTCAAAGAAAACATGCAGAGCACGCCCAGAGGCTGATGGAGGAAGAGATTTGCGTGTTAGAGGTAGCAAATAGCTTTACCAAAAGAACGCTTTTTTCCTCCCCCTTTTTTTTTTTGTGCCCTATTTTTGTCCCATCCTGCACTTTGATTAATTTTGATGTGCTATCTGATATATGGGAGTAAATAATACATTATTTCTATAACCTCCCCCTAGTCCCAATTCTTCCTAAATCCGCAATTAGTTATATTTCTTATATTACATACTACCTATCATCCATCCATTTAAACATAAATAAAATAAATCTCAAAATGCTGAATGACAAATGAACTGGGTGGGCAACTCAGAAGGAAAAATAAATTGTAACTCTTCCATTGAGTAGGCACTCCTGCCTCTACCCATGAGGAGTAATTAAAGGAGTAGTTTGAGGGAATTCAGTTGGACATTCATCAGGAACAAAGGTTTTTCAGTGCCAGCAGAGATCCATCAGTGATGCTGAGACTGCCCATCCCCAGTGACAGTGGTGTGTACATTGTCACCATTGGCACTTTATTTCTAGGGTTGCTGTTTACATTCAGTATTTCCTTAATGAAGATAACCCCTCTAATTTTACAAGGCTATTTAAAAGCAGAAGATAAATGCTACCTGAAGACACTTCCAATGCACATAGGTAAGGAGGGCAAGGTAGAGAAAATGATTACATTTTATAATTAGAAACCAAGGAGAAGTAAGATCAGATGAGTACCCTGAGGTGACAGCAGCTCTTTTCAGGGCCAGGAATTTCATCTCCATGTCCTAAGCCTCCTCAGTCTCAAGGCATCTCTCCTCTTTAGCCAGTAGTACAAATTGACAGGTATTGATATTTGAAGGAATCTTCTCACAGTGTAATTTGACAGTAGTTTTGTTTAACTTAAAGCACATTTCTAATACCCAGGATTATTTTCAAGCCATGCTCTAACATTATGAACTATATATGTGTTCTCATAAGGACTCCTTGCACTATGCTCATGGGAAATCATCATTAGGGGTTTTTTTGTGGTGCATATAATTTTTCTCCAACTTTGCTTTCCATAGCACAGCTTAGATGATGCAATTATTTAAATATGTGTCTCCTTTATTGCTGCTGTGCTATGAGAGCTTTCTAAAATGCTTGTCCAGCAGATTGTCCTGGCATAACTGTTGAAAGCTTCCATCTATTCATTTACCTTTTATTTCCCAAACACTAAAGCCATGGAGCCCATAAAAGTTGTGCCCAAAGTAATCAATGAAATATTGATGCAGGGTATGCATTTAGGGATAAACACAAAGGTGTTAACTGAATGGATGGTAAGTGGAAGTGGTAGGCACAAAATAACATAAAATCAGATGTTCTGAAAGGAGTCTGTGGAGGAGTGTTTCTAATGCTACAGAAATCTCTTTGCCATCCAGTAAATATATATACACTTTCCCTATTACTGCAGAACTTTTAGAGAAGTTTTCACACTTTTGGAAAAAGGTCTGACAAACATTTTCTTCTAAATATTTTTAAATTTTGACATAATTTTAAAGTGAACTATGATTTCACTTTCAGAGTTCCCAAATCACTTTTAGTTTTATGAATTTCAAAACACATGCAGTTTTAAAACCATTTCCTGAATTTGAAAATTGAGCTGTCTTGGTATTAGTAATGAGTCTGTCTGTGTGACACCCAGCATCAGCTCATCCCTAGGGATGCTGCTGCTCTGGCCAACAGAATATAAGGTCAGGTTGGATGTGGCTCTGAGCAACCTGGTCTAGTGGAATGTGTCCCTGCCCATGGCAGGGGGTGGGACAAGATGATCTTTGAGGTCCATTTCAAACCCTTCAAAACTTTCTATCATTCTGTGACAGAAAGGAGGCAAGGTTTGTGAGTCACAGATATAACATCCCTCATTGGATTAAGTATTTTTCTGGAGAAAAAAGTGTACAGACTCTCTTTCAGATCTGACTCACCTTTAGGCATTTTAACTACTCATCCAAGTGATGTTCGAATGGATTTTTAGTTGGACAACTTTTGGGATGTAATAAAACCCCAAACAACTGAAGCAGACTGGTTCTGTGACTCACACACCTTTCTGTAATGTGTTTGGGTTTACAAAGCCTAAAATGCAGAGAAACTCCTTGTGGAAGCACCACAGGGATTTACATAAAAGCAGTAATATAATCTTTATATTGACCAGATGCAAACATGCTCACGTAAGGGAGGAGATCGGCTGTGAGGATAAAGCTGCTGGGAGCACGGATTGTCTGTAAAGAGTGGGGTGAGCAATGGTGGTTGTTTACACTGGGCAGGTAGCCAGGAAAAAACTGTGATTTAGTCTTCATCCTTCAGGAGATGTTTCAAAAGTCAGCCTTCTCCATGACCCCTGCCTCGAGGGGCTGCAGAATGAGCCCCTGGGTTCTGTGGCAGTGCAGATAATGAGAGCCTGACCACTTGGACTCCCTGCCAGGCCAAGCTCTGCTAGGAGACATTCCATAGGATTTGGCTCAGCGAAAGGAAGCAATTTTTCCAGACACCAAAAATACATGCTGGTGTTTTAAAAACAGTATTTTCCCCAAATTGCCTCCTTAAAGATTGGTACCTGCGAGATGCTGACAGAGATATTTGGGGTTCATCGCCTTGAGCTGACAGACTTGGGCACTGCATGAGGCACTGGTATATCAAATTCTAATTTTCAGGCATCTTTTCATTTATTATTCTGAGATTTATCAGGTTTCAGACAGAACAAGGTACATTGTGCAAGCAGTGGAGTCTGCATTTCTGATGTACCCAATTATTCCCACTGCAAACAGTCCATGTGCAGTGGACAGGATAGATTCAGGTTAGCTAAATGGAGGAATATATTTAATAAAATCAATCATAAATTCCCAGATAAGCACTTCTATGTTCTAGAAAAGAAACCCCTGTCTTACTTTCATTAACAGACCAGGTGAACTTAGAAATGCCAGGTTCACAGAGAAGACAAGGGCTTGTAGGGCTTGACTCTCCTTCACCATAGCAAAGTCCATCTATATTGCACGTATTTTCCTGCCAAAACAAAAAAGGGAAATAAAAAATGGGTTGGAGGTGAAGGTCAATGAAAAAAAAGGAATAAGAAAGATAAGAAATTAGCAATTATTAATTCCTGGATATAAGCAGAAATTCACTTGTCTCTTGAAACAAGGAAACAGCAGCAATTTAAATGTTGGTGCTTTCTGCTTACAGCAAGTAAGCTATGGAAGTTTTCCAGTTCCAGCTTGGGATCCTTGTAGCTTTGAATGTTTTAGCTCAGGCAATGGGGTGGTGCTATGTCATAAATGGATGAGGGATGCAACAGAATGTGACTGTTTTCCCATTTTTTACCACGCTCACGTGGTGTGTGTGGTCATTATTCCCAGCTGTCATGTCAGGGATCCAAGAAAGGTCAGCTCCATGGGACTCCCAAAGCCTGAGACCAGGCAAAAGCTCCATTTGGAATATTGCAGTCCTGCTCTTTATAAACATTTGCAGAAGCAATGCTATAAAAGCAGAATAAAGAAGTGCATTAGAATTTAGGCTCCCATGAGGGATTTGTAGAGGGCAGCTGAGCACATCCATGGTGCCTTGGTGGGGCAGAACATCCCAAAAGACACCTGTGAGGAGATGCTCTGTGGGCACAGCAGCCTTTGGGCTGAGCTGCTCCTCTCCCAGCAGGGCCAGGGGGGTCCTGTGGGTCCCACATGGGTTGAAGGCACTTGGGTTATCTAAGAAGGGAACACAATTAACAGATTGGGACATAATTAACTAACAGGGACATAATTAACAGAAGGAGTTAAAGATCTGCCCCATGGGAAGGTCCTGTGGAGGAGTTAGCCTGTGTTGGGCAGGTGGGATTTGATCTGCCCATGCAGATCCCCAGAAAAACCTGGAATACTTCTGGGAACAAGGGGGATGTCCTTGCCACAGTGGGACAGCAGGATGGACAAGCTCCCAAACACATTCTCCCCTTTCCTTCCTTTGCTTTTCTGAGAGTGGTATGTGTCCTGTTATTCTTCCTGTGTTTTCTGTCTATTGCTTTACTGGTGTCCCAAACTTCTTTTGCAAACTGCATTAGTCAATGATACCACTTTAGGGTAATGGGTAAGGTAGAGAAACAAAAAGCATTCTCATAATGGCCACAACATGATAGAACATGACAGATCTTCAGCATTAAAACCTGGATGTTAATTAGATTTTATTACATTGTTGTTTTCAAGGGCTTGATGGTCTGCTGAAAAAAAAAAAAGTGGTTTTTTTTTTTTCTGATGTGATACAGTGTGGTACAGAATGTGAAATGGGCTGATATAAAATGTCCCCTAATTGAAACACCGTTTCTGAAGCAATTTAGGTGTTGCAGAGTAATGTAGAAGGGATATAATTAGACTGTGGTCTGATGCAATTGGAAGCCTAGATCAAATATTCCCTTGAAGCATCTTAGAATAGAAATTACTATAATCCCTAGAGAACACCATATTGAGAGACCATATACATTTCTGAGTTTCAAAAACTTAAGAAGAAGGAAAGCCTTTGACAAAAACCCTCACTTTAGCTTTAAGTGAAAGGATTCTAACACAATTATTTTTAATCTGAAACGCAGTTGGGCTGTGCTGGGTTTCCCTGCCCTTATCTCTCTGAGGGCAGTGACAGAGGGACTTTGAGACATCCAGTCAGGGTCAAACTACCACACAGGCCTATAAAGTAACTTCTATTCACTCACTTACTTGGGAAAAAAGTGAACTTTTTAAAAATGTTGGTGACTGGTATGTACTTGCAATCAGTGCAGGTTTTAAACCTGTATTTTCCCATTAGCATTAATGAGAATAGTGAGGCAAATGAGTTAAGATGTACCTGATTAATCTTCATTTTATAAAAAAGCAGACTGGTGGCCTCCTATTAATTCATACTTGCCTCAGGGCAGGAAAGCAGGATCAGCACATTCAAATATCCCACCTAATACCCTCCAAAATTTTTTTGAAGCCCCACTGCAAACCAGCTAATTTGCTTAATGTAGGCCTCTGGAAAAAAGAGAAGGGAAGATTTTTTTAAGGGATGCTACAGCAATAATTCCACAGGAAAACAGAGGATTATAGTGCTCTGCAGGCAGTTTCTAACATGTTGGCAGTTTAAAATGTAGCTCTAGACTTTTGGTTATGGTTTTGAAACTGTCAGAATGCTCTATGTTTGTACTTAGCAGTGTTTAATGCAAGCAGGAATGGTTTATGTTCTCTCAAGGGTGTTCTCACATGACAAAAAACTGTATAACATGCATCTTTGTGTGCCTCTTGCTAAGGCAGAAAATGGGAATAGAAATGATATACCCTCACCAAAGAGGATGGGAGAGGGAAAATAGCAGAGACACTTCAGAAGTGGAGTTAAGCCTCACAGGGCAGGCTCCTCACTCTTATTTACTCCCACTAACAGCTGCAAGGGATAAATATTGGCAGCCATGAGCTTTCCTGAGGTGTTTGTGTGAGGAAGGTCCACCATAAAGCACGCTCTATCAGGTGTTCATTCCCCACGTAAATATGAAAAAGAAATAAAATATCGCAGACGCGAGGCTGTGAAAGAGAAAAGCCAAGTGTCGGGCTGTGCAGCTGATCTGTGAAATAGGTTTTCCCCTTCCAGAGCAGTTATTACACACAGCACATCAGAGGGTGGGAGAGGGCTAAGGAAGAGATGAACGATCCGTATTAAACCTTTATGATCTTTAAATTACCTTTAATTTACAAAGTCCGGTGGGGTGGAATTGGCAGAGCTGGCAGAGCGCGTCGTACAGGGTCAGCACGCGGGAATTGCTGTACTGCAAGCCATCGTTAGTGATCTAAATGATACAAAAATCATCTTTAGAAGTAATAATGTTCCATATGGAGACTGTCTGCTCGCTGTGGAGCACATAGCACTGGCCCCTTGAGCTGGACTCGTGCCAGCCAGATAAATTAAACTGCGCACTAACAAATTGCTTAATGCTCCAAACTGGAAATTCTTCATTAATAACCAAAAGATCTTTTGGCTCAGCTGGCATTCAGCTTTCTGATTGCTATTAGGTTTTATCCTGAAGGTGTTTTTTTTTTTTTTT